GGTCGTGGGAAGCGGCCCGCGCTGCGAATACCACACCGCCCGATTGCATCGAACTCAGCGGCTACCACTACCAGACTGGCAGGTTTGTTCAGGTGGACCCACTGCTCCGCATCCCACTGGCGGATGTGTCGACAGATGGCACCGATGCCGCCCAGTTGGCCCAGATGGCCGCCGCGGTGTCTCCGGAGGGGACAACGCAGTGAGAGTCTCCCCGACGCAGTGTGTAATCTAGATGTTCACATGGTAACCAACTGCGTGTCTCATACCACGACTTCTTCCTCACGACTCACAACTCCTGTGTGGACGTCGTTCTGCGGAAGCGCAACAAGTACTAGACATAATGTCGGGGACTCTGTTCCGTATACAAGGGCTGGTCGCGAGCTGAGCAGAGGGAGCGCGCGAAAACATATGCAATGGGTGCTGCGTGTCACCTCCAGCTAGTTGGGCGCGTTTTTGTCTGGGAGAGGCGATTAGAAAATGACCAGCGCAGTGGTTGTTAACTACATCTAGAGCGAAGCAAATGTCACCTTTAGAGCATCTGTGCAAACAGACTGTGCATTTTGCGTGGCTGACCTTTCGGTGCTCACAGTGAGATTGCAGAAGTCTCCATACAACTTGGGCCAGCTACCGCCATATCTTAGCCAGGAACCAAAGCAACTCAACAGCAATGAAGAATATACTTGCAAGAAGTTTCAACGCACCCCACAAGCTTTCGCAATATTCATTTCCGACATGAACCTTGACAAGGCAAACAGAGCCTTCTTATGGCTATGCGTGTGCTGAGCCTCATTGACCAATGCTGAAAAAAATTTACCAATTTGCAGCCCACTTGCTCGTAGGTCTGCCTCTTTTCCCAGCCATCATGCCAGGGAACCTTGGCATTGTTGACGACCACTTCTTCATCGTCGCCCATGATGACCAGAGACAGGTGTGCCTCTGTTGGTCCCATGGAAGCAGGACATACCATGACAACCAGCCAGAGCTCATCCATGAAAGATGGCCAAACCAGTCCATAGAAACCAGAGACTGGGTTGCCCATGGAGAAACCTGGCAGTTTTGGCCAGTGGTCAGGTGGTCCAATGGATGGGAAGACTGGGCGAGGAACAACAGCCGCAACTTCACAGATGCCTACACCGTCCAGATCTGCTTCGGGTCGACGCGCTAGACCCAGACCAGGCTGGTAAAGACCCTGCTGCCTAACTAGGCAAAGACCCTGAATGGAGGAACTGCGTGTTTCATACCGTGACTTCTTCCAAACACCTCCTGTGTGGACGTCGTTCTGCGGAAGCGCAACCAGGCGGTTACTAGGCATAAACGATCTTTTCTGTGTACAAAAGCTAGTCGCGAGCTGAGCAGAGAGAGTACGCTAAAACATATGCAGTGGCTGTGGTGTGTCACCTCATGCTACTTTGTCACGTTTTTCTTTGAGACAGTCAATTAGACAATGACAAGCATAGTGGTTGGTTAACTGCATCCTAGAGAAGCTGTGTCCTAGAGTGAAGGAAACGTTACCTCTGATCGTATCGACGGACGCATCTCCTCTGACAGGTCACTGCTTCGACAAACTTGTTGCGTAGCTGCCTCAGCAATTTTCTATTTTCATTCCAGCTCGCTTTTTTCGGTGAGATTTCCTGGAGGCGTGAACGCTGCTTCTCAAGGAATGGACACTCTGAAGTGGATGTAACGTCTCAGCGAGGGTCGGGCTCCCAGACAGAAGAGCTGTGTGCTTTACTATTTCCCTTTACCAGCAGCTCAAATGCTCTCGAAGATGAGCTGAGCTGTCACCGCTTGGCCGCCGGTGGGGGGTTTGGGAGGCCTGCGCGCTACTTCGTTCACTATATCCACAGTGAAGAACTTCACCCTGACCTGTCACCGCTTGGCCGCCGTTGGGGGGTTTGGGAGGCCTGCGCGCTACTTGGTTCACTATATCTCGAGTGAAGACCTTCACCATTTCCCCTTACCAGCAGCAGACATAGACACACACACAGACAGGGACTCATACACACACATCACACACAGAGACCCACGCACTGCCTCAACTTACTCGGACACACACACAGACAGGGACTCACACACACGCAGACATAGATACACGCGCGCAGAGACCCACACACTGCCTCAACTCACTCGACTTAACACTTCACACTGAACACTTAACGCGTAACTCACACTCTGACTTCCTACGTGATGAAAGTTGCTCTCGGGCCACTCGTCGTCTAGTGTGTCTTTTTGTTCTATTTTTGGAATTATTTTTGTCTTTTGGTGGCTTCAGTGGCTTTTGGCTTTCGTGGCTTCTGTGGCTTTTGTGGCTTTTGGCTTTTGTGGCTTCTGTGGCTTTTGTGGCTTTCGTGGCTTTGGTGGCTTCCGTGGCTTCTGTGGCTTTTGTGGCTTTTGGCTTTCGTGGCTTTCGTTGCTTCCGTGGCTCTTGGCTTTCGTGGCTTCTGTGGCTTTCGTGGCTTTTGGCTTTGGTGGCTTTCGTGG